AAAAATTTTAGTGCAAGACTTATGTTCAACCTAATGTAACACTTGATTTGCTTGTTTGAATGAAAAATAAAACGAATGATTCAGTGGTGATAGAAGAGCACTGACAGCTGAATGAAAAATGGAAAAGGAGATTGGGTAAAAAAAATTTCAAATTTTTTACTTACTCTCGCTGTGCTAGAGACGTGCGAGAACTCAATATGCTACTCTTAGATGACGTCATCTCCGATTCTGACAACGGCTGAAAAATAGCCATGGTATCTAATCATCCAATAAAGAAGTATTGGTATAGTAAGCCTTACATCATCATCAGTTTGCACTCCTTCTGTGAATAACTCTGGCTTCACATCACATTCCTCATCCATTCGTTCTACTGTAACCTCCGGAATCTCGAAAGACTGTAAGAAAACTTTCATTTCTGGAAAATCTAGCATCGATCGTACCCGATTTTGTGCTATGCTATTTTGTACAACCAGTTTATGTAGGGCCGATTTGGTTTTCATCAATTCCATTTCCACATCTCGTTTCTCAGACTGGATTTTGTCGATCTTAGCCTGAAATTGGTGCAGGTTAGGAAAAAGGGAAGCGATACTATAGAAAGTAAGTAAGGGATTTTTGGGGATAACAGGGACTTGTTTTGGGGAGCAAAAAGGGCCGTGACGTAGTTGGTAAATTATACCTCCCGTAATTTCCATAAATCTGATCTCAATGGTCCAGTTTCAATTATTTGAATACGATCTGTCACTTTATACTCAAAAATTTTCTTTGTGATTCTGACCCATAAACGTGCCTTTTGGCGATAGTTTGAGGCCTTCTTGTTCCTTATGTATACCATGGTTATTGATCGATCCACCAGCACTTTGTAACAATTTTTTAAACTCACATTTGCCTCTTCGTAAGCATGTCTGAGTGCTTGACCTTCTTCCCTGGCTCTGTTTCTCTCGTCCCTGACCGTGCTCCATTTCTCACGCCAACAAGCTGTACATTCCGACCACCAGCGCATGGTTTTCTCCATCTGAGCGGCACGGTCCCGGGCCTGTGGGAAGAAAAATCTATTATCGATCACTGCCAGGTAGATAAGGTTGACGACAAGAGTCCGAAAATTGAAGGAATTTGGGAAATTGAAAGACTGCAGCATATAAAGGAGAATTTCATCAAAAAAATAGATATTATAGTTTTTACCTCCTGCAATTCTTGCAACCTAACGCTTTCACATAAATCCCAATCGGTGTGTTGACATCGTCGAACTGCGGCTGTGCGAGAAAATAGGGATAGTTGATCTAAATATTCAGAAATTTTATTTTTAGATGGACCACCTCTATGTTTGTTATTCCCTACAAGGCAGAGGCAAAATACTGCATATTGTAGTTTTTGCTGTTATTCTGCAAGAGAAATTCTAAAAAACCATAAAATTAGTTACGGTGGATATCTCTTTTCATTTATATCAAAGCCGGGCGCAGTAACCTAAATCTTCTTCGGAATGTATTAGGTTGTCCCGAAAGTAATGTCGTTTCATTT